GCTAAAAGCAGCAACACCAGCCAAGAACTGCAAAACACTAGCTAAAATCTTAAGTAGCAAAAGACTAGCTAAAAGCAAAATATAGCAAAACACAATTTAAAAGCTAAAATCAACGATGTTAGCTAAAGAGAAGCAAAGTCCATAAAAATGTAACAAAACACTAGCTAAAAACATTAAAAGACTACGTATAAACATATCAAAAGGCTGGCTAAAGGCCAAAAGTACACAAAAAATAATTACACGTAGACAAAAAGCTGAATTTAAAAGTTGCACAATTGTTGCAACAAGCTAAAGTAGCATAAGACAAAATAGAGACAGGAGCTGAAGCAGATTCCTGAGAATAATGTTTATGAAGGAAGTGATCTTAATGTATTTCTAAGTGGGGAAAATATTTGTAAATAAAGTTGCGTATTTTGAAAAGTACTAAAATTACAAAAAATAAAAGTCATAGCATCCATCTGATAAATCAGCTGAACGTAACAGCTATAGTAGAACGAAGTATGCAGAAGTAGAAAGAAAAAAAAACACGAACGTAAAACTAAAAATAATGGCAACAATAGTGTGAAAGCTGACTCGGCACTCACACACAGATCTAACAGAAGGAGGTGTCAAACAACATGGACGAACACAAACCCAGGCCGAAGCGGTAGCCATCAGCGAAGCGAGAGCTGGCGTTCCAGAAGACGCAGGCGCTGTCGACCTGCTGCAGGAACTGTTCGGCTGTGTCTTCATTCTCCGTAACGATGACGTCAGTGTGGGAGCTGCCGTACTTGTGGATGTGGTCCACAGCGTCTTGCATGCTGTCAACCACCTCGATGCAGCACTCGAGGTCGCCGTACTCCGTTCGGAGAGACTTCACCTCAGACGGGCTGAAGGTCAAAAAGGAGGCGAAACGAGGACCCGCGTGAATCTTTACCTGAAAAATGAAACAATGACAAAAATTAGAGCGTGATTATTTATTCTGCGTACAGTGGGCTGCAAAAGTATTCATCCCTCTCGGTGTTCGCTTTATTTTGTTGAGTTTCTACCAGGAATGTTAAGGATTTTTTTTATTAATATACAAAAACATGCTTTAGATTCATTAAGTTAACAGAGATATAACTTGTGTGACTACTTTTGAAGCATTATTATTATTAGCCCCCCCTCGTTAGCTCTGGTGATGGGCCGACTAACAGATGAGGTCAGGATGCAGCTGCCAGGAAAAAGACAGAGGAGACATATGGATGTGGTTAGAGAGGACATGGAGGTAGTTGGAGTGAGGACAGAGTGAGGTGGAGGAGGAGGACTCGCTGTGGAGACCCCTGAAGAGGGAAAAGCTGAAAGAAGAAGAACAAAAAGAACAAGAACCCCTGGTCTTGTTGTCCATTCTTTATGACCGAACTGCTCCATCTCCTTCAGGTCGGTGCAGCTCGTGTTCAACAACCCAGATATTTGCAGCTGGACTGAAGTCTGGGCCTTGATGGGACCATTCCAGGACATTTAACTGGTTCTCCTTAAACCAGTGGAGTGTTGACTGAAGTGTTCTCCAGCGCTGTGTTTAGAGTCATTGTCCTGTTGGAAGGACCTCAGTCCCAGTCTCAAATCTCTTTGGTTTACTTTAACGATTTAACCGTGTTTTAATCTCTGTCCTTCAGCTCTGGACATTTTGTTACTTTACGTTTCTATGTGGTACTTTGACCATGAATCAGCGTCAGAGCATGTTTCTTACGTCTTCTGTTCTCAGCATGTCGATGATTTGGTCGAACATCGGAGTGCGCAGTAACTCTCTGTGGATAAGGAGGGTCTCCATGGCATTGCAGGCTGCAGGGTAGTCACATTTGGAGTCTCTGACTAAAAACAAAACACAGTTTTACGTCCATCAGTAGCTCCAGGATGCCCCGTGAAGTTAACGATCAAAACATCGGATTGAAAAAGAAGTGTGCAAAACATTTTTTAAATTCTACTTCGATAACGACCGTACTTGCCACCGTAAACGTCTCATCAGTCCAAATATGTCTAATAAAGTGGGGAAAAAACAAATATCGCCTTATAAGTCACATCTATTATGCGTCACCCTGACAACCTGGAAACGTGGGCCGGTGTTGTGCCAAAAATCGATTGGCTGCCAAATGGCGGCCGCAGGAGCGTGCACGGGAGGACTTTAACAAGAATCTAACAAGATTAACAGTTAAAAACAATTATTTGTTCGCTGGAAACTATATCAAAAGGTGTCTCAGATGAACTTTTACTTAATAAATGGACTTTAATGGTCAAATCAAAGCCGATTCGCGGCTGCGGGCATGCGCAGAGGGACGACTCACTGTGCATTTCTTTGAAATTTAACAAGATAATCATCTAAAAACAATTATTTGTTGGCTCGACATTATAGTAAAGGTGTGTCTCAGTTGAACTTTTCCTTAATAAATGCACTTTAATTACCAAATCAGCTGCATTTCACCTGGGCGGTGAAATGCAGCTGATATGACGTTTGCTCCAGATGTGCGAGACGAAGTTGGCTTTGTATGGCAAGCCAAGCGTCTCATTAATAGCCACTTTTACCTATTAATGAGCCACTTGGCTTGCCATATTAGTCGAGCACCCTCTAGTGGTTGAAAATGGTAGTGTTCAATATTTTCCATGTCAGAATGAATGAAATCGTCAGATCTCAGACAAAAATTGGTTATGAATATGGGGAAAAAACAAATACATCGCTTCGCTGTATAATTCGCAGGCATGCTAATTTATGCAAAAAGCTGCGACTTATACAGCAAAACTTATGGTACTCATTAAAGCCGTAAACGCACCAACATCAATAGCTTTGTCGATGCTGGCCTCGCTGTCGATGTAGACGTGACAGATGCCCTCGCTGTGGCCCAACACAGGGATGCCCTTCGCTGCCCTCTCTATGTCGCGGACCAACTGGGACGAACCCCTCGGAATGATCAAGTCAATCATCTTGTCCAGTTTGCAGAGATCCTCAACCTCTTCCCGTGTGCTCACCTGAACAGCAACGGAAACGTTACCGTTACAGAAATTTACACGAGTATTGTAAAGAACGCAGAAAACGTCCGCTCACCAGCTGAATGGCATCGGCCACGCCATGAACGGCGAGCGCTTCCTGAGTGAGTTGATGTAGAATTTTGTTGGTGTTGGACGCCTCTTTGCCGCCCTTAAGGAGCAAAGCATTCCCACTGGCGATGGCGAGGGCTGACACCTGCAATCCAGCATTAAACCCATAAACCTCAGACGAAACGAGGAGCTACGCAGGATGAGCAGCGCAAAGATCTGACCTGCGGGAGGCAATCGGGACGAGACTCAAAAATGACCAGCAGGACTCCGATGGGGACGGTGATCTGTTCCAGCTCCAGGTTGTTCGCCACCCTGGTCCTTCTGAGAACTCGACCCACGCTGTTCCTGGAGGACACGGCGAGCTGACGCAGGCCGATGGCGAGGCTGTTCAGCTTGGCGGTTGAAAGGCTCAGACGACTGATCAGAGGCTGCGCCAAGCGACCTGAGAGAAAACAGAAATTTAACCGAATTACAGACAAGAAGAAGACGAGCATGAATCAAAGCTCCTTAACTTTATATTTCGTGCTGCTGCTGTTCCGCATGTTGTTTTTGTACTACTAGTTATTAGTGTATTCTTTGTTTAGGGTATTCCTTAGCTCATGTCTTAGATCTTATTACCGTTTTCCTTTTACTCCGTATTCCGTTGAAACCTTTTTTACTTTTGGACATTTGTTATGATGCGTAACCATGACAACAAGGTGTTTTTTTTTTCAAACAACTGGGAACACCTCAGAAGCTCAGGTAATATCTCAGATACAGCCCCAAATCTCAAATGAGTTGAAAAGGAGGCGCCGTAGATGCATTCCCGTTTCCTTGCCGGCTGTGCTTGAGTGCCTGACCACTGAGATCCTGGAGCTGACAGGAAACACAGCTTGAGACAGCAGAAGGACAGGATCGTCCCCTGGCACCTGCAGTCAACGCAGGAGCTCGGCAGGCTGCTGGGAGGAGTGGCCTCCGCTCAGGTTCTTGAGATGGCTCTGGGAGGAGTTCTGCACGGCATTCCTGCTGCCCGGAGGAACCGAGAGGCAAGTCTAGTCTGAGTAGACGGATTGGACGGCATCTGCGACCAGTTTCTTCTGATCCGCTGTGGGACGGACCTTTACGAGAGATCCTTCCTGCCTACAGTCATTAGTATCTAGAACGTCTCTCAATGAAATGAGGATAACGAACTACAACATTTAATTTCCCTTTGGGATTAATAAGGTATTTTTGAATTGAATCTCTTTTCTATGCCGGGCGTCTTTAAAGAGTCGTGCTGCTGTGGATCAGATTTGTCTCCCGTTTCACCTGAAGCTGTTGCTAACTCCATGTCTTTCCTGTTGGCACTAAGAATCTCGTCTTTCTTCTCTGTAAGTAGATCAGCGAGGCAGCAGATGATTTCTCCTCTCTGGAAACAAACAGGAACATATGATGAAGCACGTTATAAGTAAAGAGTAGATACACATTTGATACGTTGTTCCATTAAAATTCAGGGTCGACTCCAAGTTAATGAAGAAACCCAACAATGTTCAGTCAGGTCATCTGGACAGTTTGACCGTCCAGGTGACCTGACTGAACATTGTTGGAGTTTATTCCTGGATTATTGAGCATGAACTTTGCTGTTAACGAAGACATAGCAAAGATCTTGCACGACATGCAGCATTTGAAGTAAGTGTTATGAAGGACTCTCAGCTACCACCACACCAAACGTTAGCTCAACATCTGTAAAACTCCCTGAATTTGAGCTATTTTGTGCTTTTTAGGACGAGTTAGCTATGGCAGCCATCTTGTATTGGACTGGCTCCAAAAGATAAACAGTTGTTCATGTCCAACCTGAGAGGTTCATTAAAATCCATCGAGTAGTTCATGAGATATTTTGCTAACAGGCACAGAAACATGGGCAGATCGACTTTTGAGCAAGTTAAGGAACAACGGATGAATCTAAAGTTCTTACAGGTGGTCTTGTTGGTTTTAATCTAAGAAAATTTATTTTACGCGTCATACCTGCTCAGGCAGCAGAGAAGACAAAGTCCTTCCTGCGTGCCGAGCCATCTCCGTCTGCTGCTCCACAGTCGGGCCTGGCGGTGTTGGAGACACGCACGTCAAACAAACGCACAGCCACAAAAACACGACTGATCATTTCCTCTGGCTGGTTTCACCCAAGTACCCGCAGGTTTCACTTCAGAGAAGAAGGTGCCAACTTTTTTCCCGTCCACGATGTCGGTGATGACGTGGCCGGTAACTTTGGGATCTGTGCCGTTGGCGATGATTACAGACGTTCCCCCCTGGAGGGCCCAGAGAGCTGCTTTCACCTGGTTCACACAGAATGACAAGCATGAGCTGGAGAAACTGCATTTCCTGCGAAAATGCAGCTAATTTCAGCTTATATTGCTGAAAAACTGCTGAAATCAGCTAAAAAAAAAGTGCTGAAATGTAGCTGAAATGGAAAAACAAGCTTGAGTTAGCAGAAGAAAGCAGAAAGAACACATTTGCTGAATTTGTTTTAAATAAACAGACATGAGCACAAAAATTAGGGAAATGGTGAAAAAAGCTGAAATTAGCAACAAAAAAAAACAGCTGAAAAATAGCTGAAAAGGCAGAAAGAAGCTTAAACTACCAGAAGAAAGTAGAAAGAGCTGAAATGAGCTAAAATAGTGGAATTAGCTGACAAAGCGCAAATTAGCATAAAAACAGCTAAATAGTAGCTGAAAGCGCAGAAAAAGCATAAAAAGCTGAAATTAGCATAAGAAGTTAATTAGGCTGAAAGTAGCAGAAATTAACACAAAACTTTAATTTATCTGAAAACAGTTTAACTAAAAAATGCTAAAAATCTAGCTGAAAGTGTAAAACAAGCTTAAATTAGCAGAAAAAGCAGAAAGAACACAACTACCCAATTAGGCTGAAAGAAGCAGAAATGAGCACAAAAAAGTAGAAAAATATGAAAAAAGCTGAATTTAGCAATGAACAGCTGAAACGCAGCTTAAAAAGCAGAAAGAAGCTGAAATTGCAATAAGGAAGTGGAGAGAGCACATTTTTGCCGAATTACGCCGAAAAAAGTTTAAATGAGTGCAAAAAATGTGGATTTAACTGAAAAAGCTAAAATAAGCATAAAATAGCTAAATAGTAGCTGAAATAGCAGAAAAAGCCGAAACTTGCAAAAATAAACTGAAAGAAGCAGAAGGAAGTTAGAAGCACAAAAATGTAGTTGGCAGAAATAATCTGAAAGGAGCACAAAACAGATGAAAACAGCTGAAAGTAGCTGAAAAACAGTTTAAATTTGCTCAAAGAAGCTGAAGCAGAACAAAATGTGAAAGGAGCAGTCAAAGGTTGTAAACGGATCTAAAGAGTTGAAGGAGGTAAAATGAACATGCATCAGGATCAAATGAGCTCAATTCATTTTCTCTGAGAGAAAAAATGGCAGAAAAGGCTAAATATTTCAAAAAGCTAAAGTTGCACCAATACCAAAAGTCCTAGCAGGATTGTCCTGAATGAGCTGAAGGTTTTGATACGATTTGTTGAAATAACTTGAAAACTGCGGGACGATCGTGACGAAAAACGTACAGAAGAAAAACGGATGATGCTTCTTAAACATTCACGCTGTTATACTGTGCTGTAATAAAGTCGGAGAGCACGTTGCTCGTTGAGCAGACCTTGGCCTCCATGCCGCCGATCCCGACTCTGGACTTGGTGCCGTACGTGATGGACTGCTGATCTCCGGGGTAGAATATATCGATGAGCTTGGCGTCATCTGTTCCAGGAGGACTGTCGTATAAACCTGTGGGAGGCATCGAGCTGTTTTACTCTCTGAAGTGCACTGAAACATGACTGTACCTGTGTTTGACTGTTAGCAAAATATCTGTGCGGCTGAGGATATGCCTTCCTTCAAGGCTTTTATTTTAAAACATACTCATTGAAAAGCATCAAATCAAATATAAAAACGGTTCTGAACTTTATCACATGGTGCAGTTTCAGTCTGCTCCAGCTGTTTTCCAGAGATATTGATGCGCAATTCTGAAATGTGGGTTTGCATTCAGTGTAAACAAAATACTGCATTCGCCAAAAACCACAAGGAAGCTCAAGTCATGTGACTGGCCTACATTAGGTTGTGTGGGTAAACACATAAGGCAGAATCGGACGAGCGTAAAATCTCAGATAAGAGGCTTGGACAGAAAAATAAGTAAATCTGCTGCTAAACAGCAAAAAAAGAGACGGAGCAAGAAAAACAGCTGCTATAAACACTGAGGGTGAAGCAGGGTGGTGCAGCGTCATACTGACAGAGCTTCGTATCGATTCAGCTTTGACAAAACCTGCTCGACTGGTAAGTTTAACGTCTGACCTATTTTCAGCCACTTCGGCTGTTTTTGAAGGTAAACAAACACACACGTTAGTTAGCATCGAGTCACAAAGTTCACTTATAAATTCTTTTTATTCGATTTAATCGATCGACCATCAATATGAGAAAAACACTGAGCAGACTTTGATATTTTTCTTTCATTCACTCTTCGTGACTTTGCAAAGAGAGCCTGATGACAAATTCAGTATTTAAGCTCAATATCTAATTAATCAATAGATTTATAA